AGTTGAATTATGATATGCGAATGACTTCATTCTATTATTTGTGCCGCATACATATACATACAGTGTTATATGTCAATAAGTATATGATAATAGCCTGATGTCATCACAAGTAATTATCTACATTTAATGAACATGCTAAATAACTTTTTAAAGATACGTTAAAAGTTATATATATATATATATACATACACACACACACATATATATACCAATATAATACATTAAACATTTAACATTACACATTTCAACTGCGAACAAGAACCTACAAGTGTGCTGGATAACAAAACACACACAGTGATATATAATACTGCCAAGTTTAGAATTAATTATCGGATAAGCCGCCGCGAACCTAATCGATCCCGGACGGCGCTAAGACGGGTGCTCTCGGTCCGAGGCGTCGGCATGGCGCATATCGGAAGCGTTCGAGGAATCGTACTTTGCTCTCGCGATTTCTGCGAAACGGCAAGTCGGTCGTTGATTAATCTCGAGTACGGCAACGGGGAATGTGTAGCAATTTCCTGAAAGGCACAAGCACGGTGCCCGCCGTCGCGTCGCGTCCTCGATTACGTTCCGCGAGGGTAGGAATCACCTCTGCTCGACAATTTTTGCGATGCAGTCAGCTGCCGTCCGTCGTAGCGTGCTATATACGATGCACAATTTTGAAAAAGGACAAGAAGGGCAGATGAAATTTACGTATTCTCGGCCTAAGTGGCTGTTTGGGCTGAACTTCAGATTACGCCTGATGCAATTTCCGACGAAAATTGCATGTGTGTAAAAAGACGAGATTATCAGTCTACATTGGCCTTTAACAGACTGATCTTGTGCGAAATTGAATTTTTTACTCTGAACCAGTTTATTTTTATTTTCTACGATATGCTATAAGTGACTATAAATCGCGCGGGAATAAATCGAGCGTCAACAGAAGACATCGCGATGCGAAAAAAAAAATAAAGTTGATTGCGAATTGTTATTGCGGATAATTTGCAAAAATTGAACTTCAATTACCGTTCTACGAATTATGCAGCAAAGTTTTGCCTGATCTTAGTCCATGGCTGAAGTTTGATCTTTTTAATTATCGATTATGAAACCCTCTCTTTATTGCAAAAATTAAAATATTCAAAGCACTTCATCATAAATACATGAATTTATAAATGAATGAAACGGAAGTATTAACCTGACCACACGATCTATCCTGTTTGCTACGTGCTGTTTTTGACGCTAGAAAAAATGTAAATCTTTGCTTTTTAGATTTTTTCATTATGTAGTAATCAAAAAATTAAACTGTGGTACTTTATAGTTTATATATATATATATTTTATGTAAGTATAATATATGTAAAAAGACTAAACTTAAGAAGATATTAAAACTTAAATCCAACATTTTTCATAAAAATTTGATCAAGATCTTTGATTGTCGGAGCTTTATTGGATATCAAAATAATTCAATTAGAAAATGGAGGATGCTTACAATTAATTACCACGTTCGCGTTAGATAATCCATCGCAACCATTATCAATGTTAATATATTTGATATTTTTTACTAAAAATGCTTTGAAAATGTAACTTCACAATTTTGAATATTTTTCTAGGGAACCATAATTATATTTTTTTCTTTCATATACGAGTTTTCCTTGTACATTCTTCAGACAGAATAACGTCCACAAAGTTGAGATAAACGCTAAAGTGCACGCATAAGATCCTTAAGAAAGCGATCGCAAAAACAGCATAAACCAGAGATACGCTTTAAATTTGCCTGATTAAATTTATTTAAATTCGTCGATATTGCGGAAATTCACGGATTAATAAAGCGATCTTTATTAGTTTTAGCCGCGAGATTCGCGACTCGACTTTAGCGCAAATAGAACGGCAGAGATAATAGAGATAGACTAAGAATAGAGTATTTGAAAGGGGTAAATGGAACGCGACAGACCCGCGCATATAGATAACAAACCAGCTGAAATCGGGAATTCAATCACTTCGGCAACGATATTCTTGCGCCGCTTTAATAGCACGAATATTCTCACACATTAGATGTCATATTGTGTAAGTATCACTCCAAGACAACTGCCATGAAACGCAAATAAATGCCAGATGGGGGTGCTTTTACGTTTTTCGCGCCCTAATTCGCGACATTTGTGATTTACTTCCATTGATTTATATCGTTTGCATTTTATGTCAAAATCGAACATCATATGATTATTTTAGAGAAAAATTAAAAAAATAAGAGCACCTCTTTTTTTCTAATATAAAATATATAAATGTTATCTTTTACAAATTTATAGACATTTAAAAAATCTTATAAGAAGAAAAGATAAAAATAAAAAATAAAGATAAAAACGATATTTTTGAGTGATGATATTTTTTTCGAGCTTTTTTTTTTCACCTGATGTATATATAATCCAAAGTTGCAATAATAAATTTTTGTCACAGAACAAGCGCAGTAATATTATTTTATAATCTCGGAGTGCTCTCCTTGGTATCCGAATGCATTCGAATGACATCGATCGAGTTTCAATGTTGGCACTCTTCTCTAAGGCCGATCAGTAGTCAGCTATCAAAATAACACGCTTGCAATCGGTGCGTCGCGCGCGTGCTTCTCCGTGCTCTCGTAGAGTACTCACCTCTTATACTTTCCGAGACGGCGCTGCAATGACATGCCGTCGAGAGCAGGAAGGCCAGGGCCAAAGCCAAAGTCAGTATCGAAAGTAACCGTGTCAACTCCATGTTTAGGTGCATCTTCACCCTGCCGCAATAATTTGCTGAAAGAACAAACGATAAGATAGTGTCGTTAGTCACGTGCTTCCGAGATCTGTCAAAATACCGAGTCTTAAAATATAAACAGATTTATATTTTCGATAGAGAAAAAAACACGAGCCCCTATATTTATTTATATATTAAAAATAATTTGTAATTTTTGTATATATATATAATTTTCAAACGTATAGCAAATATGACAGCGATAATCTTATTAGTTGCAGGATCGCAAACAACTCGTATTTTGTGTATTTCAATTTATATAAACCCAAGTTTTCAGGATAATTCTAGGAGCAGACATTAATCTTAAGGATTAAGCATTCTATTCATAACGAAATGTTTAAAGAGTTTTACGGTAGATTTAAAGATATCATTAAGTGTATTAACCAGCATTAACATTGACACGTAATAGTCTGCTGAACTTCCGCGATTTCCACACGCTTATATATACATAAATATACCGCGTCGTAACGTAAAATGTAAAATGCGATATATGTATTTAACCTTTTGTTGAGATCACGCGACTCACGTTTTTATTTAAAGTTGCAATCATTATTTTAATCACTATTTTTTTTTCAAACGCGCGACAAGAAAAATCGAGGAAAAAGATTAGCCGACAGGGAAACACTGCGTAACGGAATATATATATATATATGTTCGAGAAAACGCCGGCACTCGATGCATTATTCAATTTATTAGATGCATAATCTCCAAATGCATCGGATGAGAATCTAGAAAGCCTCGTTGGCGCATTTGATTAATGGAAATTCTAATGCATTTTTGCGAGCGTTCCGCGTTACATTCGATTCCCGCGGCCGATTGCCGGAGGCGTCTATTCTTAATCGATTACGAGGTCGATATTTATGCAGGTCGTATCTTTTGTATGCAACGCGAGCGTCGTTACACCCACGATGAAATGTCTCTACGCCGATAAGGTGACTCGACAAATCTATTAATACGCGTACACCAAGAAGGCGCGCACGCGGCATATCGATAGATGTAATCGTAAAAAAAAAAGAAGAATATTATATGGCCAACCGACAGGATCGAGAATCGAGAAATTTATGAGCCGATTCACTCTCGATCAAGCCGGTCGACACTTCGACGAATATTCTTGCAACGCGCGAGCGAATAGATTGCGTCAAGTGCGCGAAGATAAGTATATTAATCACGCTCAGTTTTAGTTACTCGAGACGTTTATTTCGAAAGTCGTCTAGGTCGGCTGAGATATTTAAATCGCTAGGCAACACCACGCCGTGTTTTCATCGGTCTTTCATACGATACGGTAATAAATGGCAAGTTAATGTACGGAAAATGGATATATTAATTATACGTTTTTCGCCTTTCGATTATATTTTCACAAAATCTACTTTGATTCTCTCATTATTTGTTGCTTGTCATTTAAGGAATTTTTACAGATGCTTTATTCGTAGATTTTATCAGTCTATTGTAATATTTTTTTCGAATTTTGCTACGAAATAAAAGAATATCCAACTCTCTTTCTTTCTCACTTGTAAGTGGTAGGAACAGATAATTAATTTTGAGGAATATTATCGCCCGATAAATGTTCACACCTTCTTTGATACGAAAGGAAGTTCGTTCTGCTTTGCTGTGCATAATGACGCGCATAATGACGCGCCGACATGATATCGTTTGTAATCGCGCGGATTGTTTGCACGAGCGAAGGCGCGAATAAATAAGACTCGCGCGACGCTTGTTTACGAAAGGCAGTGAGGGAAAAGAGCGCGTAGTCGTAAGCACGTACTACGTAGTAGGCTGTTTACACACAGACTCGCAGATCTAATCCAAATCGCAGATGCCGACAATGTAATTGGACTGTTAACATCTCGCGCGATTACACAGGTTAATTTGTAGCGTGACTTCCCCGAAGTACAAGTAGAAACTCTGAAACTGTATAAATCTAATAGCGCGATTTCATATCCGAATAAATCTAATTTAAACATTTTTAATTTTAACAATTATTTGACCATTTTCGAAATTTTTACATATCAATCGAGTTTTGTATTATGCATTATTTGAGTGTATGCTATTTTATATAGATTTTAATAGACTGAGCATGAATGTTAAAAATATAATAAATCGAAAAATTATATTGAAAAATATATGGCTAATATTATCCATCAAAAATGATCTTTTTGATATTTATATGTTACGTATATGTTGCTTATATCATTGTGCTAGAAACGGAAAAGTAAATTCGCGATTTACGCCATATATAAACTTGTGAAGGACATAAGCCTCCCAGGGAGATAATATGAGCAGATTGTATTACGCGGATACATGTAGCAGCACGGAAAGTTGCGGAAGGAACACAGTTACCGAAATTACTGCCGCAATAGACACTAAATTAATAATCACGAGAGCTATTTTTAAATCTACGAAAATAAATGCGCATAAATTAATGAATATAAAAAAGTTGGATTTTTATGGGCTATTTAGCGAGAAAATAATTTCCTGCAAAAAGATTTAATTTTGATTTAAATTAGATGTGAAAACAAATAGAGAAATAAATACAATTAATAATAAAAAAATTATAAAAATGTTATTAGGAATAATTTGGTTCATTTTTTTATCGCATTCAATAATATTTGTACTGGTTAATACGATAATGGTGGCGAAATCGGCGAGAGCATTTTAGCGCATACCGTTTTGAGTATTTCGCGCCGATTATTCTCGTACGTATACGAGCAGGCAGGCAGACAGTCGTAAAACATCGGCGTGGAAAATTTTCCCGGTGCACACGCACACCGGCGTGTGTATGAAAGTATATCAAATTCATGAGTGGAGTTGAGTCTTAAGTGGAACAGCTCTATTATGGGGCGTGATTAATAAATATTCGCACGTCTCACGCACATATGCACGCAGGTAGAGGCCGGGGTCCACCTGATCTGTCAGCTGTGCGTGCACCAGCGCGTCGACAAATCGCGCCGCCGCTTGTCATTGATGTATTTAGCGGCGACAATGTTGAGCAACATTTAATCAGAGAGACAAGAAGAGAAAGAGAAAGAG